CAGGAATCGTAGCAGACGGGTGGAAACAGGCTAACATAGTTCCAATCTACAAAAGTGGCAGCAGGGAAGACCCCCTCAATTATAGACCTGTATCATTGACAAGTGTAATAGTGAAAGTATTGGAAAAACTAATCAAAACTAAATGGGTAGAACACCTAGAGAGAAATGATATAATATCAGACAGACAGTATGGTTTTCGATCTGGAAGATCCTGTGTATCGAATTTACTCAGTTTCTATGATCGAGCCACAGAGATATTACAGGAAAGAGATGGTTGGGTTGACTGCATCTATCTGGACCTAAAAAAGGCTTTCGACAGAGTTCCACATAAGAGGTTGTTCTGGAAACTGGAAAATATTGGAGGGGTGACAGGTAAGCTTCTATCATGGATGAAAAATTTTCTGACTGATAGAAAAATGAGGGCAGTAATCAGAGGCAATGTATCAGAATGGAGAAATGTCACAAGTGGAGTACCACAGGGTTCAGTTCTTGCACCAGTGATGTTTATTGTGTACATAAATGATCTACCAGTTGGTATACAGAATTATATGAACATGTTTGCTGATGATGCTAAGATAATAGGAAGGATAAGAAATTTAGATGACTGTCATGCCCTTCAAGAAGACCTGGACAAAATAAGTATATGGAGCACCACTTGGCAAATGGAATTTAATGTTAATAAATGTCATGTTATGGAATGTGGAATAGGAGAACATAGACCCCACACAACCTATATATTATGTGAGAAATCTTTAAAGAATTCTGATAAAGAAAGAGATCTAGGAGTGGTTCTAGATAGAAAACTATCACCTGAGGACCACATAAAGAATATTGTGCAAGGAGCCTATGCTATGCTTTCTAACTTCAGAATTGCATTTAAATACATGGATGGCGATATACTAAAGAAATTGTTCATGACTTTTGTTAGGCCAAAGCTAGAATATGCAGCTGTTGTGTGGTGCCCATATCTTAAGAAGCACATCAACAAACTGGAAAAGGTGCAAAGACATGCTACTAAGTGGCTCCCAGAACTGAAGGGCAAGAGCTACGAGGAGAGGTTAGAAGCATTAAATATGCCAAAACTAGAAGACAGAAGAAAAAGAGGTGATATGATCACTACATACAAAATAGTAACAGGAATTGATAAAATCGACAGGGAAGACTTCCTGAGACCTGGAACTTCAAGAACAAGAGGTCATAGATTTAAACTAGCTAAACACAGATGCCGAAGAAATATAAGAAAATTCACCTTCGCAAATAGAGTGGTAGACGGTTGGAACAAGTTAAGTGAGAAGGTGGTGGAGGCCAAGACCGTCAGTAGTTTCAAAGCGTTATATGACAAAGAGTGCTGGGAAGACGGGACACCACGAGCGTAGCTCTCATCCTGTAACTACACTTAGGTAATTACACTTAGGTAATTTACAGCTTGTGAAAAGGTACAAGCAACAAGATCAGTAGTGGAAGGGGGAGTAAAGAGCCAAAGGAAAGGGAACATGTTCCTGAAAATTGTATATACCAACATAGATGGAGTGAGGTCAAAAACTTTGGAGTTGCAAGATATAATCCAGCTTAGGGTCCCAGATATTGTTGCATTATCAAAGACGAAACTTGAAGGAAATATAATAAATGAAGTCATATTCCCAAGAGGCTATTCAGTTTGGAGACGTGACAGGAAAACTAGGAAGGGAGGAGGAGTGGCTGTACTGGTGAAAAAACACCTGAAGGTAAGAGAGTTAATATTTGAAAACCCTCGAGATATTGACATAATGGCATTGCAGGTCTGGAATCAGGATGATAAACTGATAATTTTAAATGCCTACAGCCCACCAGCAAGCAACACATGGACAAAGGAAGAACTGGATGGCAAACGAGAGGGCCTCATAATGGTCATGAGAGAGATTATTGTACAAGCAGATATAGATAAATCACGACTGTTGATACTGTGGGACTTCAACTTTAAAGCAATAGACTGGGAGACCTATGAAGCAAGAACGGAGGACTTTTGGACATGCAGATTTGTGAACCTCATTCTGGAGACATTCTTGTATCAGCACATAAAGCATGCCACAAGAATGAGGGAAGGAGATGTACCGTCAGTACTGGGTCTAGTATTCACCAGGAAAGAAGAAGAGATTTTGACATCCAGTACCTTCCTCCCTTTGGAAAGAGTAATCACGTTCTGTTAGACATTGATTATGCTTTAAGATATCATTTAGAAGAAAATGGGGACATTGAAACAGTTGATAAACTCGATTTAAGGAGAGGACACTATGGGGAACTTCGAAATTTTTTTAATGAGTGTAATTGGACAGAATTGTTGCTAGGCAGGGAAGTAAATGAAATGTATGCCAAATTTTTTAAAATATACGAGGAAGGCACACAAACATTCATACCAAAACAGAGATGCAGGGCCAGACAACAGGATTGGTTCGACAGAAATTGTGAGAGGGCAAGAGACCAAAAGGCACAAAAATGGAATCAGTATAGGAAGAGGCCAAACCCCCAAACATACCAGCGATACAAAGATGCGAGAAACACCTATACAGCAGTAAGGAGAGAGGCAGAAAGAAATTTTGAAAAAGGGATAGCGGATAAATGTAAAACAGAACCGGGCCTATTCTACAAATTCATAAACAACAAATTGCAGGTAAAGGATAATATCCAGAGGTTGAAAATGGGAAACAGATTCACGGAAAATGAAAAGGAAATGTGTGAAGCATTAAATGAAAAGTTCCAAAGTGTGTTTGTACAAAATGAAATCTTCAGAGAACCAGACACAATAAGAATTCCAGAGAACAACATAGAGCGGATAGAGGTGTCTAGAGATGAAGTGGAAAATATGCTAAAGGAGCTCAGTAAGAACAAAGCAGCTGGCCCAGATGGCGTTTCACCATGGGTTCTGAGAGAATGTGCATCTGAGCTCAGCATTCCACTTCACCTGATCTTTCAGGCATCCCTGTGTACAGGAATCGTAGCAGACGTGTGGAAACAGGCTAACATAGTTCCAATCTACAAAAGTGGCAGCAGGGAAGACCCCCTCAATTATAGACCTGTATCATTGACAAGTGTAGTAGTGAAAGTATTGGAAAAACTAATCAAAACTAAATGGGTAGAACACCTGGAGAGAAATGATATAATATCAGACAGACAGTATGGTTTTCGATCTGGAAGATCCTGTGTATCGAATTTACTCAGTTTCTATGATCGAGCCACAGAGATATTACAGGAAAGAGATGGTTGGGTTGACTGCATCTATCTGGACCTAAAAAAGGCTTTCGACAGAGTTCCACATAAGAGGTTGTTCTGGAAACTGGAAAATATTGGAGGGGTGACAGGTAAGCTTCTGACATGGATGAACAATTTTCTGACTGATAGAAAAATGAGGGCAGCAATCAGAGGCAATGTATTGGACTGGAGAAATGTCACAAGTGGAGTACCACAGGGTTCAGTTCTTGCACCAGTGATGTTTATTGTGTACATAAATGATCTACCAGTTGGTATACAGAATTATATGAACATGTTTGCTGATGATGCTAAGATAATAGGAAGGATAAGAAATTTAGATGATTGTCATGCCCTTCAAGAAGACCTGGACAAAATAAGTATATGGAGCACCACTTGGCAAATGGAATTTAATGTTAATTAATGTCATGTTTTGGAATGTGGAATAGGAGAACATAGACCCCCACACAACCTATATATTATGTGAGAAATCTTTAAAGAATTCTGATTAAGAAAGAGATCTAGGGGTGGTTCTAGATAGAAAACTATCACCTGAGGACCACATAAAGAATATTGTGCAAGGAGCCTATGCTATGCTTTCTAACTTCAGAATTGCATTTAAATACATGGATGGCGATATACTAAAGAAATTGTTCATGACTTTTGTTAGGCCAAAGCTAGAATATGCAGCTGTTGTGTGGTGCCCATATCTTAAGAAGCACATCAACAAACTGGAAAATTTGCAAAGACATGCTACTAAGTGGCTCCCAGAACTGAAGGGCAAGAGCTACGAGGAGAGGTTAGAGGCATTAAATATGCTAAAACTAGAAGACAGAAGAAAAAAGAGGTGATATGGTCACTACGTACAAAATAGTAACAGGAATTGATAAAATCGACAGGGAAGATTTCCTGAGACCTGGCACTTCATGAACAATAGGTCATAGATTTAAACTAGCTAAACACAGATGCCGAAGAAATATAAGAAAATTCACCTTTGCAAATAGAGTGGTAGACGGTTGGAACAAGTTGGAGGCCAAGACCGTGAGAAGGTGGTGGAGGCCAAGACCGTCAGTAGTTTCAAAGCGTTATATGACAAAGAGTGCTGGGAAGACGGGACACCACGAGCGTAGCACTCATCCTGTAACTACACTTAGGTAATGCATCAAGCAGACTGGAGCACTACAGACAGAGCTTAATGCTACCACATCAATAACAGAACTGGCTGGTCTGGGAAGCTACTGTATATGACGGTATTCAGTAATTCCTTAGGCGTGAATCTGTTTTTAATTTAGCTCAGTCCAGTCAGACAAGTTCCGTGATAAATAGTACAGATCATGAAGGAATATTTTGTTAAGAAAATATATAATAGTGTTTGTTGAGAGATGTGTAGTTATGTGCATATGTAGAATGTAGATGGAGTTAATGAAGGAACTTGTGTGTAGAGCTTTTGTATATAATCAGCATCTAACCTTTCTTCTTGTTTCTGTGGGGATGGTGGGCATATTTGAGGAGTGGTGGTGGTGTGTAGAGCATTGAAGTTGGATCTTCTGCTTTACCTATCACTGCCTTTCTCCTCTTGTGGCCCTACCATCTCCACACTTCTCTTCCTCAACACATCCATCAACTTGGCCAACCTGTGGTGTATTCTGCATTGACCTCCACTGCCTCGACTGCTGTTTTGGGGCTATGAATGGGACTCCAACACCATCTGACCTATGTATTGGGCATTATGTAATGCTACAACAACTTCATCACTGCCACCATTTTCATCACTGCAGCCGTTCCTCTTCAACACACTTCAGGTTTGGTCAGCCATTGGATCCTCGCACCGCAGAAAATTGTCCTTCAAGAATGTGAGCAACGTAGTGGTACAACTTCTGCACTCCATAAAATACTCCATGGAGGTGCCCTTCTCCAACATGGCAGTACCTCCACCAGACAAGAACACGTCCATCACCAAAAAGGTAGATTCGTGCCAGTTCTTTCTTTTTAATATTGTATTACTATCTTAATATGTGACCTGCTGCTACTTCATCCCACCTTTGCCCTCTTTTTGTTTTAGCTTAATCACTATGCCACTGTCAAGCAAGTAACTACAGATTTGTCTGCTGTCTAGTTGTGACTTGCTTATCCTTGATTAGCCTTCGGTTTGTTATTGCTAAAATCATATTATACATTTTGATGTGAGCTCAGAAAATTAATCACCATTACAGAGTTGTTCACATTTAGTAAAATCATCATACTAGAATTCCAAATGTTGGTACATATAGTATATACAGTACTGTATATAACTTTGAAAATTGTTGCTTAACCTATATACTTTGCTCTTGTTAGATTTTCTTTTTCACTTACTTTTTCAAATTTACTGTGATCAGTTTCCTTGTGTTACAGATCATTTGATTTTTTTATTCTAAACACTTAGTTTTCCCTGCTGCTATCCAGTTAGGTTATTAAATTTTATCTGCATATATTTTGTAATGGTGTGTACAAGTTACAACCAAAATTAGATATAACGTACTTGAATGTACATTCTAAAGTGGATAAATATACAGTACTGTAGTAATGAGGGAATGTGTAATTAACTTTTTCACAAATCTTAGAGGGTCTCGGTAGTACAGTCAGGTTTGTTCCAGACTCTCAATTGAGAATTCTGGGTTCGAATCCTGGATAGGACAGATCAAATCCTGGGTGCGTTTCCTATCATCTAATGTGCCTGTCCACCAGGCAGTAAATAGGTACCCTTGAGTTAGTCAGTTTGTTGTGAAGTGGCATCATGGTAAGGGTCAGTAATTCGACCCTGGGAGTGGGGACCTCAATATAAGCCTAACGTATACTGTATGTATAAATTGGCTACTTGTATCCTGACACAATAAATTAAATGGGAATAAATAGATAATCTCATAATCAGCACTTTGAGGTGACTGATGTTCTGCATAAATAATATTTATAACATAGATTTTAGTGATCTTCACTACCATGATTCTTCTCCCTGCCTATTATAAAACAAAAAAAAGAGAGTATAATGGCATAGACTTCAATACTTTATCCCATATCATTAAATTACTCCCCATGCAGTTGATTTACATTTTTGTCTAGTTTATCATAAACATTTTCCAGCAATTCAATTTAAATTGTAAGTGTGACTGTAGGAATTAAAATTTTGCTTTATTTAAATTTAAATAATTTAGTATATTTGTGCCTCTTTTGCTAATCTAGAATACAGCATATATATGATACAGTACTTCTTTGATATATACTGTATTTTGAAGTTTGATACCTTTGTTATCTATGAAGTTTGATTTTTTAATTTTAGTAAATATGTTATTGCTCATTTTTTTTTGTGCAGTCCTTTATTTAGGTTGATCAAGGATGAGTTTGTAAAAATAAGAATGTAATGAGAAATACCTCTAAATTCATCTCTTTGTGCTTGCTGGTGCCAGCTTCTCATACCAGTGGCATTAATTCTTACTTTTAAAACTCGTCCAACATTAGTGCCGCTTGTGGCTATAACTGACTAACAGTGACTCCCATCATTCGTATGTTGTGTGTCACAAGCAACTAACACACTAACAGTCACCCATTTCAATTTTCAGAGGAATATATTCTTTCACGAATACTACGAAATAGAGCGAACGTGCCCACAAGTGAGTGAATCGTAATGATATGTGTATGGCTGTTTGTGACCCTTCTTGGGCTCGGCTCAGTTTTAGGCCCTGAAAGCCTTTGGCCTCTTACCCTAGTTGTGGTTATCACTCACCCTATGACTACTTTTATAACATTCTGGTATGCTCTTGATGACTTAAAGAATGTGGAAACAAGTTTTATGAAAGATAGGCAAATGATTGTGCATAAATCTGTGATTTATTTGTCTATCTTGAAAAGGGTTTTGATATCCACATCTCAACAGTCTGAAATGAGTATTGAATGTTATTTAAGTTGATGCCTGACATTTATATTCGTCTCACTTTCCTGACACATCCTGTATTAATTATTAGAAGCCATCATTGTCATGGACAGTGCATAGCTTGTCCAATATGCTAGCTTTCTCTAAATCACTTTTATTTAAAAAAAAAAAAAAAAAAAAAAAAAAAAAAAAAAAAAAAAATCAGTGCATATATATACAGCAAGATTCTTTAAAGATCTAGTATTTTTCTGGGGGAGAGCCCTGTTGGCTCCCTGAAGCTATGATATACTGATTAGTACCATACTATCAGGTGCCATCAATTGCGGCATTCTTATTGGCCTACTTGGGACCATGAGCCAGAGCCTGGTTCCCTCAGAGAGGTGCAGGGAGTGATGGCCTATGAAAACTTTACATTTAAAGTGTAATCATATTTGTCACCACCAGGAAAGCACCCAGAAAAATAGGCGAACCAAAACAAACTACTGCATGGCTTAAAAAGTGGAGCCACAGCCTCAAAACTGCCAAAAGAACTCTTCCCAACAATAAAACAATCACCAAATTTACTCGAAACTATCGTTGGCTAGTTTGCCCCACCATCTCCCCTTGTTGGGGAGGATGAGGGAGGTGTACTGAGTAAGCCGGCTCACACCAACCTCAGTCCTCACAGATGTGTGCCCGGGTGTAAACATCTCTTGCTCTGGCTCCAATCGCCTTCATCAGCTTAGTGGTTGCTTCGTGCCTTTGATACAGGATTGCCTGGTTTGGTTCTGCAGCCCGCTTGGATTTTATGGCTCCCAATTGCACTCCAGCTCTTTCTGTTTATTACTTCAGCTCTTTTCTGTATTTGTTTCTTTTATTTCTTCTTTCTTTCTTTCTGTACAGGACATATGTTGGATTTGTGGGTGTCCATCATAATATTGGCAATTACCTAAGTGTAATTACCTAATTGTAGTTACAGGATGAGAGCTATGCTCATGGTGTCCCGTCTTCTCAGTACTCTTTGTCGTATAACACTTTGAAACTACTGACAGTTTTGGCCTCCACCACCACCTTACCTTACTTGTTCCAACTGTCTACCATTGTTTGCAAAAGAAAATTTTCTAATTTTTTTTTTTTGGCATCTTTGTTTCCTTAGCTTGAATCTGTGTCCTCTTGTTCATGATGTTGCTGGTTTCAGGAAGTCTTCTTTGTCAATTTGGTCATTTCTTGCAAGAATTTTGTATGTGGTAATCATATCACCTTTTTTTCCTCTATCTTCTAATTTTGTCATGTTTAATGTCTGTAGTCTCTCCTCATAACTCTTGTTTTTCAGTTCCGGAAATCATGTTGTAGCATGCTAACCTTATACTGCTGCACCTTTTCCAGTTTCTTTATGTGCTTCTTGAGATTTAGGCACCATACAACTGCTGCATATTCCAGTTTAGGTCTCACAAAAGTCATAAACAGTTTAAGTATTTCACCATCCATATAATTATAAGCAAGTCTGAAGTTGGAAAGAGATGCATATGCTCCTCTCTCAATGTTCTTTGTGTGTTCCTCTGGTGACAACTTGCTATCCAAAAACCACCCCTAGTTCTTTATTAGAGTTCTGTAATTCCCTTCCACATAATTTGTAAGTTGTCTGTGGTCTATTTTCTCCAAATCCACATTCCATAACACAGCATTTATTTACAATGAATTCTATTTGTCACTTTACACGCCAAGCACTTATTTTATCCAGATCGATTTGAAGGGCATTACAATTGTCTGCACCTCCTATCTTCCCCAGTATCTTAGCTTCATCTGCAAACATGTTCAAATAATTCTGTGTTCCTTCTGGTAGCTCGTTTACATAGACGACGAACATTACAGGTGCAAGAACTGAACCCTGTGGTATTCTGCTAGTAACACACTTCCAGTCAGATACATTATCTCTGATTACTGCCCTCGTCTGTCTGTCAGTTAGAAAGTTTTTAATTCATGTCAGAAGTCTCTGTCACTCCTCCAGCATGTTCCAATTTCGAGAACAGCCTCTTGTGTGGGACTCTGTCAAAAGACTTTAGGTCAAGATACACACAGCCAACCCAACCACCTCTTTCCTGTATTATCTCAGTGGCTCTATCATAAAAACTAAGTAGATTTGTTACTCAGGATCTTCTTGTTCGAAAACCATACTGTTTGTCCGTTATTTTGTTATTAATCTCTAGGTGTTCAACCCATTTGGCATTAACTATAATTTCTAGTGTATTGACTACCACACTTGTTAATGATACGGGTCTATAATTTAGTGGTTCCTCTTGACTACCATTTTTTTTTTTATTGGTACTATGTTTGCCTTTTTCCATATATCTGCTAAGATTCCTTTGCACAAGGATGTCTGGAATATTAATTGGAGTGGAATGCTCAGCTCGGTTGCACATTCTTGCAGCACCCAAGGTTGAAACTCTATCAGGTCCAACTGCTTTATTTCTTCCTAGCCTCTTGAGTAATTTTTCCACTTCGTCTTTAGATACCTCTTTGTATTCTATGTCTTGCTCTAGAATTGGTATTGGGTCAAGTTCTATGAAATCCTCATTTTGTACAAACACACTTTCGAACTGTTCATTTAGCATTTCACACATTTCTTGAAATCGAGTTCAACAACTGTTTCAATGTCCCCATTTTCTTCTAGCTTATATCTCAAAGCATGTTTAATGTCCAAAAGGACATGACCACTCTTTCCCAAGGGAGGAAGGTACTGGATGTCAAATATCAATTCTTCTTTCCTGGTGAGTATTAGATCCAGTACTGACGGAACATCCCCTTCCCTCATTCTTGTAGCCTGCTTGACGTGTTGATACACGAATGTCTCCAGAATTAGGTTTACAAATCTGCCTGTCCAAATGTCCTCCATTCTTGCTTCGTAAGCCTCCCAGTCTATTGCTTCAAAGTCCCCCAATACCAACAATCGTGATTTATCTGTATCTGTGTTTACTATAATCTCATGACCATTATGAGGCCCTCTCGTTTGTCATTCAGTTCTTCCTTTGTCCATGAGTTGCTTGCTGGTGGGCTGTAGGCATTTACAATTATCAGTTTATTATCCTGATTGCAGACCTGCAATGCCACTATGTCAAATTCTCGAGGGTTTTCAAGTATTAACTCGCTTACCTTCAGGTGTTCTTTCACCAGTACAGCCACACCTTCCCCCTTCCTAGTTTTTCCTGTCATGTCTCCAAACTGAGTAGCCCCTTGGGAATACAACCTCATTAAAAATAATTTCTTCAAGTTTCGTCTCTGTTAATGCGACTATATCTGGAACCTTAAGCTGAATTTTATCTTTCAGCTCTAATATTTTTTATCACACTCCATCTATGTTGGTATATACAATTTTTAGGAACATGTTCCCTTTTCCTTTGTTCTTTACTTCCCTTTCCACTAAAGATTTTGTTGCTTTGTTTTTATTTACCATTACACTAGCTTTCCAGCCCCTAACACTTTGTAGAAAAAGGAATTTCTTTCTTTCTTCATTTCTTTTCCCATTTAGACATTTTGCTTCAATGAGGTTCATTTTCAGATTTGATCTGTCTTCCTTTGAGAGGTCTTGTCTTATTGACCAAAGTTTCTCATCCTCATCACACTGCAATTTCCTGGCATTTCTAAGCATTTCCATCATGTGTTTCACACCATTAAATGTCACCCTTAAGGGGTGGTTCTTGTCTTTCTCATATTTTCCTATCCTAAAATCACTGACATTTTCCTTTTAATTTAGGCCTTCTCCTAATCCTACTATTTTCTTTGATTTTCATATTTTCTGCTGCTCTGTCCACCCTAGATGATACAGTATTTTCTTTTTTTAAACAGCCCAAAATTATTATGGACTTATTTCTATTGCAGTGTTTTGTACTAGTTTACTGTTGGTTACCAGTTCTTTCCTAATTGCTTGCCTAATTTCTGCTTCTTGTTGGTCATTTCTGATTTTGACTTCCAAACACACTTCCTTGATTGTTTCTCTTTCTATTACAGCTTGCGGATATGTCTCTTTTGTTCCTTCTTGTACTTTTCTAGTTCTTTATTAACCTCCTCTATGTGAGTTGTCAATCAAGTTTTTCTTTGCCTATCCTTGCCTAACTTCATGTTTACCCTCAGGGTACCTTGGAGTTGTTCACCATATGAGTCTATTTTCTTGTTCATTTCTTCAAAGTCACTACTCTTCACTTTCCATACCTCAATTTCTTTCACTAGTTCCTTGATTTGTTCCTCCTGATTCTTTACCTTGTCTGTTAATGCAGTAATTATCTTGCTAAAGAATACTTCCTTTTAAAGTGCTAAACTCACTCCTGAGAGTTCCATTTCTTCTTCTAATTTAAGCACTTTTTCTTTATACTACTTTAGTATATCCTCAATTATCTCTAACCTAACCTGTCTTGAAAACCACCACCTTGAATTTATTTCTGAGTAAAACCTTTGAAGGTTTCTGCATCTTTTGCTGCCTCTACTGACGACCGTGTCCTATCCAGTCCGGCCCCATCCCCCATCTTTGTTTTGATTTCATCAGTTCTGGTTCAGAGACCCTGGGACAAAACTTGTTTCCAGATTTGTGTATTTTCATATCAATCGCCACTGTCCACCTGTTATCGATGATCTCGGTATATTGATGGTATTAAGAACACCACTTGCATAGCCCTCCCCAGCACTATCATCCAGATATGATGCAAAGATCTTTGAGTTCTCAAGCTCCAGAAGCTTGTGTATCTGCTTGAGAACTGGTGTGCTTCTCTG